ATTTCGGACTAGTTACAAGCAGAAAGGATAATATTGATAAACCACGAAGTACTAAACCTACAAACCATGGCAAAACGTGAGTAGTATGCACAAAAAGATTGCGGCAGGTTATGTTGACATTTTTAAATGCGCAACCACTCTACGCCATGTTCTACGACCACTAGATTTCCGAGAGCCTCATCATCCTTTGCGACATTATTGGCTTCATATGAATACATGTATAGTCGAAATCACGAAAGATGAAGATTACGTCATCATTTTAGTCTGAAGTAAAGACAAACGACAGCGATTTGTCAATATGTTTAATGAAGTTTCAGATATGTTAAACAGAGACAAACAGAATTTTCTTGTCCAAACAGACTGTATTGCTTTGCATGTATCCGACAGAGATAGATGATGTTTTCATGTTGCATGATCGATCATATTTGAAAGATGACTAGTTAGGTTATGTTAAAGCAGGTTAGGTTGTTGTCGAATAATACTTAGGTCTTTGGTGTTCCCGTCTTAAGGTATTCTACTCATAACTGTTTTTTTTTTTCAAAACAAAAACTCCCCACTAAAATTATTATTAAGGTATCACTCAAAACCATGAAATAAAAGAAAATAAAAATAATCAGTGAAATAACCTAACTTCACAAAATCATAATATAATTTTGTTCTCATTATGTTCCTGACATCGCGATTTTATCATCGACGTACGTCCATTGATTACTTCAGTACAATTTATGGTATGACGTAATAGTCATCTTTCGTGATTTTGACTATATGCTTTGCTCGGCTCAACCCCCTATCTCTAGTGAGTCAGGAACACCACATAGGCTACTTTTTATTCCGGAAACTACTTTGAAATCTATATTTCACACGGCTTAATAGAATTTGACATGAGCTCTGCCGCGGAGGCCGTCAGTCGCTGGTATGACCGAACTGACTAACAGTAAATAAATAGGTCATTTGCATCGTGAATTTACTTCATTTCGATGCTCGTTTTCTTAGCGTGATCGTCTTGATTCATATTTGTTTGGTATTTTGTTTTACGTCAAGTGTAACACTGTGAATAAATAGTCATTGTGTTAGGATATGCTAAGATATGCCACACAGGATGCGTATCATTTATTGGGACTACACAGTTGATATAGATTTATTATTGCATTAAAATTTTGAATAAAGAATGTTCATTGCCAAAGACAGTTTTGCTTACTACCAATCTCCTTCACACTAATGCAAAACGAATGACCTATAGTTTTTAATATTCCCATGCTGTCGGAACAGCGGGCTTAGGCTAGCTGATAACAGTTTAGATAATAAATATATGAAATATATGAAAATCCTTTTTTGCAGGATCCTTTCTCACTGTAACATCACTGAGGTACACCCTAAAGCGCTTGTTCGATTGAAGAATACAAAATTGCTGTAAGTATGCAAATGCTACTCAATGCCACACATTATGCCTTTTAAAAAATAAGTTAGGTCGGGAAGCCCAGGGATCTTGGACTATATTACGGAGAACCGGGAAATTCTGGACTAGTTGTCAAAGAACCCGGAAGTTCCGAGATCTTCATAACCTTCCCGACTTTGATTTTGATGTCAAAATTAAGTTAAAATATATTTCTGTAGGGTCAGATCCAATTCCGTATCAAATGTTTGTCCTATTTAATTTATGTAAAAAACTGAATTACATGCCGTCGGTGATACTGCAATATCGCGTAATCAACAGTGGCTCAAAGCGCGTAAATTCATAAAATCAGAACTGTGATTTAGCCCGTACAAGTTCTTGACAGCGATTGGATTCATCCGGTGAGTTAGGTGAGCGCGTCAGTCAACCAAACCGCTTCAACCGACGCAACATAAAACAAAAATTTACTCGGCCAACGGTGTCATGGTAAATAAAATATTCAATTTGTTCACTCTCGTATAAAATAGATTACCTACTACAAAAATTACGCGATTTTAACCACTATTTTTTACGCGGTACTAGATAGATAGATAGATAGATGGATCTTTATTTCCAATAGGTACAAACACCCAATTACAGGAAATAGTTCAAAAAGAAAACAAGAGCAACACATAATCCTAGTATATAAGAAAAAACACAATCAAATTAATAATACAGCTAGATCAAAAAGCCAAAATATTAAAAAAAAAAGAATAACTGTAACCGCAAGAAGGTCACTACATGCCATGGGAAATGGCCAGGTAGCGTTGTTTAAAGTCATTTCTAGATGAAGTATTCACATCACAATATTCACCAAAAGAATTGAAGTTCTCACACATAACTGTGACCGGCGATTTTCTCGAGATATTTGTTCGAGCTAATTCGCAGTAAAATGTCATTTGGTGACGCAAATTGCGCACAGGTACATAAAAGTTAAGCTTACTTAATATATATTCACATATGACATCATTGTGCAAAACATCATAAAGACATTTTAAACTACTTATAACTCTCCTACTATTTAGCGACATATATTCAAATGTATTCATGAGTACAGAATAATCACATCCTCTCTCCGGATATTCTTTGTATTCGCTCAATACGGCTTATATGAACCGATTAGATGGGATACCAAATTAAAGAACAACTTTCCAATTTAGATCGAACGTACGAAGAATAAAGAAGTTTCAAAACATGTAAATTCGAAAATTGTCTACTGTTTCGGATGATGAAGCCCAACATTCGGTTGGCTGATGTTGTGATATCATTTATATGATTACAAAATGACAAATTGCTATCAAAGAGAACACCGATATCTTTAATTTGATAGCACCTATTCAACTCATTCTCGCTTATTTTGTAGGACCATGTTATTGGTTCTTACTTTCTGGTGTACGTTAATATGAAACATTTATCTACATTAACTTCAAAATGATTAGCATTACACCAATCCAAGACAAGGTCAATGTTGCCTTGTAAAATTTGGCAGTGTGAATTTGAGCTTATGTTATGAAAAATTTTGAGGTCATCCGCATAGAGCAACTTTTGGCATGTAATCATCATAGCTAGGTCGTTTATATATAACAAGAACAATAGAGGTCCTAAATTCGATCCTTGGGGAATCCCAGATGTTGGCGAGAAAATATCAGAGCGGTGCCCTTCATATTCCACAAATTGCACACGATTAAATAAATACGATTTGAGCAAGCTTAGAAGACGTGCCGAAAACCCAAATCCTTGTAATTTTTTCATTAAAATGTATAAGTCTACTCGGTCAAATGCCTTCTGTAAATCCATGTAAACTACATCCGTCTGTCCTCTGCTATCAAGGTTTTCACTGATGGATTGAGTAATACATACCAGATTTGACGTACAAGATTTTTTCTCTTGGAAGCCATGCTGTTCTGCTACAATTAGGTTTTTAGTGTGAATATAAATCGCTTCGTAAACATTTTTTTTTTATACTCCAACTACCACGAAGGCCTAAGGCCTAAGCACCCGTTGGGTACCGTGGGCCTATAGGGGGATACATGGGAAAGGGGGGGGACGCCACACGGACTCTGGCGAGGGAACACGTGTGCATGCAACATGCACACATTCTGGCTCCGCCTACGAGATCCGCCGGGTGGTACCTCCGCATTCGACAGTCAGAAACCGTCTACCACCTACGGACAATCACAACATCCATAGCCAAGAGAAAAATTTCTCCTGGGACGGGACTCGAACCCGCACAGTGCACGGCGACTGATCAGGAGACCGAAGAGTCTACTACTGCGGCCACCGCTGCTGCCTATAATTTCAAATAGCTTTGAAAAGTTGGATACTGCTACGATTGGGCGGTAATTTTTAATTAAAGCTCTATCACCCTTCTTCAGCACCGGAGTAACTCTGGATATCTTCCAGATGTCTGGAAAGATGCCCGTCTTCAAAATAATGTTGAACAGATGTATTAATGGTCTGAGTAGCGCATGTATGCAATCCTTCACTAAGAAGCTGGGTATTTGATCAGGGCCTATAATACTGCAGTATCGCTAACGATTTTACCCATTTATTATAAAAAGCAATATGCTCCGCCAAGAATCAGTCATCTAAAAAGTATTAAGTACCTAGTAACCCTTCAGTAAAATAGGCGATTGAACGCGGACGATAGATGGAGTATTAGGTTCGTATTATCAGTTTCTCTTATTTGCCTTCCTGCTGGAACGGATGCGTGTTTAGCCTCCCTATTTTCCTTAAGTTTTTTCTCTCCTTGGGGAGAGCTAAAATGAGTTTCGTTAATGTTTGAATTTAGTATGCGGAGGTAGGTGAAAAATTTGTCCTACCAATGGCTCGCCAAGTTGATATTCATTCTCATCCAGTACAATGAATGTTGACGAAAGCTCCCCATGGATTAAAACTCTTCGACATTCTGCGCAATCCACAGAAAGATGTCGCACCACCATTGCGGTCGACCCGTCAGGCAGCCCCGGATTCTATGCATACATATATAAATTATGCTCCTTAGAAACTCATCAATGCGGAATACCCCTAGTAGTCCTGGAGACAGATGAACAGAACGTTTCGGTTGTACAACAGCTATCTGTGCATTACGTAGTATGTCGAGCAGCTATGTGGCATCACTACTAGATCTATTCCGCACGGATGAGTCACTAATGAGTACGAAACAGCAGTGTCTGCGGTTGGTTGTGGTTTTACAGATACGGTAATAAAGCATGTCCATTTCAAGCCTGATTTCAGTCTTTCTCAAAGAGAGAATAATTTAAAAAAAAAACAGGGATATCATGGCGAAAAAAGGCGTCGTTAGAACTCCGAAAACAAATAGGAGCGACTTCGAATTCAACCTTTGCACAAGTCAAATTCATATTTTTATTAAGAAGTTTATTTTAACAGGGAAAAGGTTTTACGATCCGGTTTCATCACACCGATACAAATTTTCTGGAAATCCCGATACCTTCGTGACCGGGATTTCCCGGGACTATTTTCTACCACGAACGTCTCATAAGGTCGGGAGTTCCGTTATTGCGGTTTGAAGAAAATTATCGAACATCGTGTAATTTCCAAATTAATTTCCTCTCACATTTTAAAAACCTGACGTCTTTTTAACGCATCGCTGAACATTACAGGCATTTGGACAACAACCATATAAAATACCTACCCCATGAAGTGTTCGCAAGGGAAAACAAGTTGGAGACACTGTGAGTCGCACAGCAAATGAGAAAATGTAGGTGAAATTAAGTGTACGTTATTTACAGGTCTCTCATGTACAACAGCTTGATGAAGATTCATCCACAGGCATTCGTTTACCTTCAGAGTTTGTACGAACTGTAAGTAAATAGTTTTACTACAAATATTTGGTTTGAGGAAAATATCTAATCTAGTTCTCATACTGATGAACAACTTACAATATTGCTGCTAGAGAATACAGAGCAACTAAAAAAATGGTGTCATTAAGACTGTAAAGGAGAAAGTACATTTAAGAATAATTCAAACAATTTCTGTGTGTCTTGGTTACCTCATTGCTGCGATTGTTTTTCTTCTTCACGTGCTACCTTCGCGACGAAGGATATAAACAAAGCTGTTTTAATTTTCAAAAGGAAAGCTGAGTAGAACTGCAACCCAATCATTTTCTGGGATTCCACAACTAGGACACACTTCTTTTGTCAATATTTCGCCTACCTCTAGTATGATTAATTATAACAAGTATTTGTTTCCACGGGTAATGCGTTCTAACCATTGTGATTTTCTTGTTTTGACTGTAGGCAGTATTTCCTTGTCCCTATTTAATCTTTATGGTACCCTGAAGTTTCGTAACTTAATCGACCTGTGAGGTTTTAAGGATCCTACGATCAGTCCATATTTCAACAGTCTATAGTTTGTCATACCAGAACGCGATCAGGATCTACTCCTCTACAGATAGTGTGTTGCAGATCTGTATATCACTGGGAAGAGCAGAGCATGAATATTAAACAAATCTGAATTCACCACGTTTCTAGGACAGGCAACGTTTAATCAAAATTCAACTTTTAGTAACCTACAACACACAGAGATAATTCATTTGAAAGATGTGCTGCTAAAAAGTGAGTGGAATAAAAATGTCCGATAAGTTTCAGATGTTACATTAATTAAAAACATCTTTTTATGTGTTACGTATGCTGCTGAATTTGAAATTTTAAGTCGGTACAATAGTACAACATACATACAACTTCAAGACTCCATATTCTGAGCGAGGCACATTCTAGAACCTAGGAACTTACATATTTATGTTTAAAGGAACATTATCTATTGATTATCATATGATCACCGTTTTTGAATCACCGTATATAACGGAGTTTGATGAATGATTCTTATATTCAGTTCAAACACTTGAACTTAACAAAACTCCGAGTTACATCGTTCTGCACTTATCGCAAGGAGGTAGAAAATCAGACCTAGAATGTTCAATCATTCTAGCTGCAACATATTTGAGTAAAAAGCTGTTTAAATATAGATAAGCTTAATCGCAAATAATAGTTTTCGAAGCTCTCTGCATTGAAGCTGTAAAGAATGTATGCACAGGAAGCGCTCTCCAGAGAATTTTGCTAGATTGCACATTCAAGGTCGATTTATAAACTCTGACGTTCCACACGACTGCCATATCGCTGCAGAACTTCAATCGTGCGCTTGACGTTAAACTGTTTATAAACAGGAATTCCGCAACGTTTGACTATCGCTAGACTTGACGAAGTTCCACCACAGATCCGGTGGCTTTCCCGGGTGATTTTCTCTCTGTTTGACATTAACATGTTTTGTTTGCTTTTGTCATCAGCGTTCCTTTGAGATTGCTTTGTTTGCTATATCTAGTTTATTTCAAACATGATAATATTAATATCAGGAGATGTGTGTTACAAGTGACAAGACAAGACACATCTTGTTCCATAGCTATTACTTTTTATGATTCTAACTTTTAACCGCCTTTTTTGTCGGTAATGCAGATTTTCCATATTCAGAACACCAACTATGCAACAAAGTAACGCAAATAATTGCTAGGATCATTTGCATCGTCCATTTTTGGCGACAGCTTTACGGCCACGATACGCCGGCGAGAAGGCAACGTCAAAGTTTGTAAATCGACCTTTAGCCTTTAGACTGTTTTTGAAAGAAGCGTACCTTCGACTGTGAAGTGTGGAAATATCTATTAGAAGTTGTTTCATGCTTTTTTTCAAGGGACCTAAGAGGCAACAAGTTAGAAGAAATCGACAAACGGGTTTTGGAACCACTCTCAAACCTGAGGATCCTGTAAGCAAATGATTTCTTGTTTGATTAATTCCTTAAATGTAAAGCGTAAAAGGTATTTCGGAATTTGATACGAGGCAATATACTATCGAGGACTGCATCAAAACAGACGTCCAGAATGTGTTGTTCTTCCTTGGCGAGTATATCGTCGCTCAGTTTAAGACTCTTGAACACTCAATACCAAGAATAAGAAACCTCTTCCCAAATGTTCAGCATCAGAGGACAATATTGATCCTTCGTAGTGCAGGAAGACGAAGCATAGTTATGACTGACAGAACTATCGAGTGCTCACGTGAAGGTTTAAAAGATACTCCGGTTTATATTACTGATTGAATAATGGCGGGACATTTTTTAATAAAAACTGTAGATAGCTGAATCCGAACCTGAAGTTTCAACGAGATCAAACTAAAGCCCACACTTCAAGAAACTATACAGTGGTTCTGTTACCGAAATTTTTGAGCGCCACATCCGTTTGGGTTTACTTAAACGAATATGGTTTCATGAGTCAGCCGCAGCACTTTGCTTACTTGAAACACCATATTTGCAACAGAATCGCCGTCATAATGACCAAAACATTTCGATAAGCTTAAGAGAACGTCAAGCAGAAGGACACCTTTCAGATCATTCAAACTAAATTTCAACGATCTCACAAGTAAAAAGGTGATCTTGAATTTGAACCATAGCGTTCATTTTGGAGTCACAAAAAGTTTATATTTGTGGTAACGCTCACATTTAACATTTACCTCTGCATCATCGTAATTTTTATGGAAAAATATGGCAGTGATCTGTCTTAATACGTTTACACAAGCCTACTACTGCTACTTCCATTCATTCTAAAATGATTCGTGATCAGATTCCTGACACGTGCATAAAATACCTTATTCAAATGCAAGAAATTATCTAGTGGGATACGTTTTACAATATTCTTTTATTCAAGACTTTAAATTTGTAGGTATCTTCAGAACAATGAAATAAAACATGTGGGAGCTTCCACCTTCCCAAGAATTCCCTTGGAGAAGTTGTCATTGGTAGACAATAAAATAATAAACCTGGAGAACTCAGCATTTTCTAATCTGAGTCAGCTACGCAACTTGTAAGTATATTTTTGTTTGTTACAAGTCATTTAGCCTTAGAAACCACTCTGCTTTTCAATTTGTTTTCACTTGAAGAGAATGTGGGCATTTCTCAGACCGCAGAAAGATCTTGGTCTCCATCCCTATAAGATCAAACTAACTCAAGAACTGAAGCCACTTGACCATTTAAAGCGTCGTAACTTCTCTGAATGGCCTCCGAAAATCCGGAATTTCATCGCAAGATCATCTTCAGGGATAAAGCTCATTTCTAGCTCAACGGCTTTGTCAATAAGCAAAATATGCGTTATTGGGCAGCAACAAACCCACGTTTGCTCCAAGAGAAACCATCAACTGGTGGTTGGATTGGACCGTATTTTTTCGTTGATGACAACGGTCGTCACGTTACAGTGAATGTAGTGAGGTATCGTAGCAAGTTTATTTTCGGTCGGAGTTGGATGATCTTGGTATCAGTGATATCGTTGTTAACACAAGAGAACCACGTCAACTTTATATGGCGTTTAAAATAGGAAAAACACGTAATTCCTAATTTTACCTATTTTCCATTTTTGTTTTGAAAATTTCAGCTTTCTTTAAGTATCATTCAGAAACTGCTCAACTAAACTATAATATTGCATTCATCACAAAATGTTATTATTCCTAAAACAATATAATGCATAACTCAATTTGTTTTTACGCTTTCCTCTAAAATTCTTAGAAACGGAGTTACGATTTTTTCTTGTGTCATCGACGATATGTGGTTCTAACAAGATGGTCCCATTTTCCACACAGCTGGCCAAACAATCGATTTATTGAAGACGAAGTTTGGAAGTCGCTAAATGGACCTGGCGAATGGCCGCCTCGTTAGTGCGATTTGACGCCATTAGATTTCTTTTTGTGGGGTTACATCAAGTCGTTGGTCTTTGCCAACAAGCCAACACCGTTAGATGAGCTACGCGATAACATTCAACGCGAAATTCACAACGTTCCTTTCAATATGTGACAACTGGCCGAAGTCGAATTTAATTTAGGCCAGGCCCATATGATTTTATAGGGTGAAATTACTACGATTTTACCACAAAATGATCTAGATAGTTATTTATGACCTCCCCTATTAGTAATAAGTGCAGCATAGAGTTATAATAACTTTAGTTTTATTCAACTCTTTGGGAAAAAGGAAGACGCTTGGAAGTGAATATAACCTTTTTTAAATTGTTCATGCAATCTCTTTAACCTGTGAAAATGTGTGAAAATGCCGTAGGGAAATGATACTAGCTCTGCATTAATATTACAATCTTTCTGATAACAGTTTTATATCTTCCTACGATTTAGTCAAAGTATAAAGTTTAAATGAAATGCGAAAGGCTTTCGCGGCCAATATTATTTGGTCGGTTTCTGGGTAGTTAGTCGCAAAAAAATGTTTGCTTGACGTTTCGCCAACATGAGTGGTTGGCATCTTCAGAAGACGTTCACAGTTTGGAGTTTTGTGAGCTACTGCTAATGAGCGCAGTACTGCTACTGAACTCAGTACCTTACAGGACTCCAAACTGCAAACGTCTTCTGAAGATGCCAACCACTCGTGTTGGCGAGACGTCAAGTAAAAATGTTTTACGACGGCCCAACAACCCTAAAAAACAACCAAGTAATTTAAACTATAAAGCTGGAAAACGGATATGGTTGAAAGTTGATACATTTTCACAGCACCTGCTTTATGCCCAAGTATTAACTTCATTTATCTTGTTTTCGCATACATCATGATCCTGATTCGTGTAGCTGACATACTTCATTCTGTTTGCTGTCCCACTTTCTACCATTGCTTCTTTTTCCCTTACATAATTTGGTATCTGGACGATCAGTCGATAGACATTCCGACATACAAGAGCAACCAGGAGCAAATATTCCACGAAGTGCTCTGACAGACAAGGACTAATGGAACCACGACTATTTTTTTAATTTTAGGTATTGCATTTTACATGCTTCGATTCTAAGTTACCTGAATACCGAATTATTGATTGATACGAGCAAGGGCTACTATTCTAGTATTCCTAGAATATTGACCTGAACCGTAGTTCGGTATTTCAGTCCGTGATCTCTGTAATTTTGTGTTCTAAATTCTGGGAAGTAGAGCAATATCACGTGTGGTGGGTATACATACTTCATTGTCTGTCATAGACGACGCGATGCCAAGCAATGTCACAGGCAATTTACGGATGACAAGCATCATAGTGTAAATATTATCGTAACTAGTAGTAGTAAAATCACTTACAGAAAACCCTTTCATGTTAGGATTTCTCAAGTGGTACCAGCAATCTTATAAAGCCAATGTTTTTTCAGCAAGGGACAGTCTTGTCAAAATGATTTTTCTTGCCAGACACAGTTTCCAAGATCTTGACTTATGGTCGTATCAAACATCTTTCTCGCTAATTTTCAATCGAGGCTTACCGAACCTTGAAACAGTTGCTCAACGTAGTCTTTGAGACGCGTATGTTAGCAAAGCGTTTGTAGCGCGATTTATTGGTAATAGTAAAGCACTAAATTATATTAACCACAAAACAGTACTAAAATTTTCTTGTGAACAGATAGCAGGTGTCCCAAAACAACATGTCAATCTCTCGTATTTACAAAGAACACCAAAATGTAATGCCACAGGTGCCAATAAAAAAATTCCCTACGGGATTCGTCTACGGAGATACAAGACTCTAATGGATGCTACTGACAATCAGTTTTTCTAAAATAACTTTTGGATGACACTGTAGAATTGAACGAAATTTTGACAGCATAGTAACTATAGTTGGGACCTCACATGAGACCGTCCGCACCATTTTGAAAATATAGAAATTCTGATAAAATATTGGTAGATAGCGACCGAGAAAAACGGGGATTTATGGTCAGATTTTCTGAGAGGTGGCTCAAAAACGCATTATTTTATTGATATTCAACAAATACACCTTCTTCGGCTAAAATATTCGGCTTCACGAAAGCATTATTTTTGAGCTATTGTTATACACGATGTAAAGAATGCTATACTGCATTAGAGCTAACTCCCAACTAGCAAAGTAGTGGTATAAGCTTTTGGTAAAAGAACCGTTCAGCCATAAAAGCTCTCTATTGTTGTTGCCTGAACACCAAATGCTGCACTAAAATGAGGTGTTTAAAATATTCTTATAGCATAGTTATACAACACCCTATAGGGCAAATTTTTATCTGTTGCACAAACGTTTATATTGTACAACTATTTTATATGGCATACTTGCAAGTAACTAGTCAAAATGGTTGTGTTGTGGCACCCATGCTAACGTTCATAAAACAAACCCGAGCCTTGTTGCTCTGCTGTGCAATTTACTACATTAGCCAACAAATTGCTTCCAACGGAAGCACTTATACAACTGTTACATAATATGCTAAATATGTTGGTAAACAACTTCTCCATAACCTAACTTCCTGCTGTCATATTTTTGTTAAAATGCCATTACCAATGTTTTAAGACAAACAACGCATACATATCGGTTCAAAAGGTGTTATCAACTGTTTAAACAGAAGATATAGATCTGGTACAAATTCTGGGTAAATCATTCGACTCTGTCGGTATTTCATTTCAGACATTTGTCAACTTGTTTTATAACACTTGCAGGCAACACCAAAATATTCTAAATAACCTAAAGACAACATGGACGGTGCCATGATTGTACACAACCACCCGCCATATTGGGCAAACATTTATTCCTCTATTTAATATTAAATAATTATGTTTCAGTTCGAAATTACAGATATAAAGTGATAAACATTAGTGCAATTGTGTCTAAATATAGGATTTGTGGAAGATTTAACGCAGATAAGTTCAGTTTTCCATCTTAAAAATCTAGACATACCTTTGATCATTGTCAAATATGAATCAAATACGAAGCCCGTAGAAATTGGGCAACTAATTTGCACGATAATCACAATAAAATTTGCTGCGCAAGTAATTCATTAGCCCTATATCAAAGTGTAGAAGTTTATCATATACCTGTGTATGAAATTCACAATGGCCGATATGTAAGTAAACAAGATGACTGTAATGTGTTAGTTATATATCCTTCACTTTGTCTATACAATACATAGGAAATAGTTTGGTTGCAATAAAGTAGAATCACGTAAGAGAATAGTTGTATAGTTGACAAAAACTGAATCTTGCACTGACGCAAATGTCCTATAGCGGCTGCAAGAGGCTTACACTTTTGTTTTATAACTGTTACCTGCAACCCTTATACAACCTCTTAAATGACTGAAGTGTCCTATTAGGTGTTCCCATTCCGCTTGTATAGCTGTTCTAAGAGGGTTTTGCTAATGTTCTTACAGTATACAATGGTGTTATCATGTATAATCATTCTTGCAACTCTAATAGGAGTGATAATTGTTAGTTGGGCTTGTTCCATGGCGAACAGGTTACTGAGCTTCGAAAATTGCGTTGAATTCTGTCGTTCAAGAGTTACTTGAGAAAAATCGATTCCCAGTAGCGTCCCTTAGGAAGTTGTGGAATTATTTTTATGATCTTTTTTTGTGTCCTATATGTTATAAATTATAGGATCGAACATTTGACAACGTCTAGAAGATTTCTGAAGCTTAGAGAAACGGCGGACTTATAAATAAGGGCTGAGAGAGAAAGAAAGAGAGTGAGAGAGAGATAGAGAGAGAAAAATAAAACACGGAACACATACAATTCATTGATTCTAAATAATCATTTATCAATAGTCATTACAATTCGTCATCATGTATTTATTCACTCATCCAAGCAAACATTGTTATATTATTATAAAGTATCTGTTTGTAAAAATTAATCGAGTGAAATGAAGAAACTTACGTGTGTGAAGTAAATCTGCTCTAAGAAACGCTGAGTATATCTCAATCGTACTTTTTGAATAGCCTTTTTGCAGATCTTATTATATGATTCCTGTTCTATAAAAAATGGAGAATGTAACAGTCTTTCTAAACTAGTATATTCGATTACACCCCAAATTAGTTATTTTACCGTCCTGTTGGCCGTATAGGCAAAGGTTATCATCAAGGTGAAATCTCTTATGAATTGACACCGTCTGTACTGCATTATCAAACACGCCTACGAACATATACATGGATCGAGTTTGTCATATAATCCACTTCCAATCCCTCGCCAAAAAATGTATCATACCTGCCCTTCCAGCAGTGCAGATATAAGATATGACGTAGAATTTTACGACACCCAAATATATATATATATATATATATTACCGTATGATATAGACATATATACATATATACGAGTATATACCTACATGTGTACACTTTATGCTCGTCAGCGAATATTATCTAGACTTGAGTGTCATAGCGATAATTGATATTTGACGTAATAAGAGATAACTTGTTATATAAAGTCCACACTAAAGTACGAGTAGACTAAGTTATTTGTTACCAAATTAACAAGGTCCCGTCATTCGAATGAATCCTGTGTTTACTGGCAAAGCAACAAAAAATATTTACCATTGACAGACAAGACTTCGGATTAGAAAAACCGTTTGGAAGCTTTTGCATCGGGCGCTGAAAGTCATACCTTAAAATGATGATTCTCATTAGAGGCCGATTCAGAAATCTACAAATTGAACCCTTCGATCTGACAATCCATTCAGGCATATTCGGCTGCTTTAGGTTGCTCACCCTCACGATCAACCCCCACAGCTTGTAAGCAGGTGAAGCAGTTTTCATCAGACATAGCTAAGGACCATTTCGGCAGGCAACTTACTTTAAAAAAAAACGCACTCAAATCAATTTAACCGTTAGTGAGGTACGATGTCACAGACAGACACACCTACACAGAAGCCCTGTTCGTATAACAGTCGCCAACCTGTCAGTGATCGTATCCAAGATCCCGCCACACAAATTCCGTTCATTCTGCAACGCTATATAGACAGAATTTACAAGTCCAGATCCCAGATACTGCAACGAACAAGTCACCGACCACTGTACGAACAAACCGAGATACGCATGTGAAACACTTTTTACGTCGGAGGTTAAAAAGAGCATGAACAATGAATATCAGGCGACCACTTGGGTGATTGTGCCCAACGCTTTGTTCAATAAAGTGCAAATGGTATTGGGAACCAAATAATCACCAATTTTTTTCTCGGCTAGAGTACATGTTTCGGAACCAGGTAACATTATTTATATTATGGTACCCTTCCAGAAATATTTCCACAGAATTTTGCAATTCCGTATTAAGATACACTACCCTACTAGATACAGGTGACTTTGAGCTATGGGAATGTATCATATATACTGAAATTAGATAGCGATATATACAAAGTAACTTTACTTATTGGTTGTTGCACTGAACATCCCAGCCTCGTGGCTGCCTTAGGGCCGTATCGTCAGTGATTAGTACAATTATTGTAGAACGCCCTTATGGCCTCCTTGATTTTCATAGTTCATAAAGGCGTCCTACGGTTGTAGGAACGACTGAGGTTAAGGCCCTTAGAGCTCTGTTCAATAATCTAAACACAGTCAAGGTCCTAACCGAAATGAGGAAAATACCAATTTGAAGTTCTAGACGTCGAAAATTATAGCCTTGTGGGCACACAGCCTCGCTCTGGGATCGCTATAAAGTGTGTTGGCTAATCGGTAGTGGAGGGAAGTTAATGAAGGATTTGTGAGGGTGTGACATGATATGGGGACTAAATGGAAAAATGATTGATTGATAGCATACATAAAATAGAATACGTGACTGGCTTAGTGGTTTTGACGTCGCAGGAAGGCTTTATTATAGCAATACTAAAGAGGGTGTACTCAAAGTTTGAACTTTCCTTCACCGAACGTTTAGGTCAGGCAATAATACGTATTTTTTTAGTAACATATATGCTAAAGCTTTCAAATAACCACATATTAGTAGCAAAAAGCAATAAATCAACCAGTGCGACCACCCTCCCCTTTCACAATCTCCTCCTACGTCAAAACCTATGATGTATTAAGTATATTAGTATATTCCTAGAGCAGTATCGCAGTTATGAGATTAGATATGAGCATCTCCAATATCCTGTGCGTGAGTGTACTCAGAACGTCGCCGTCGCCCTCGATGTTTCTTTCCGTCAGGGCTACATATTTTTGTTTATATCGTACAAAGCCGTTTGTTTAAACAGAGCTAAGACCTAGTCAGCCCCATCTGTTACAAATTTAGGAAGAGGTAAACAAACTCGTGTTTTTGAATCGAACAACAACAACTTCAAGCAGTGTTTGCAAACAAAAGATGTGACACACATGTACATGAAATGCCTAACCAAATGAACGAATATTTCTCTTCAATTTCTTTTTTACATTTTCGGTATTGTTCTGCCGCAAATTAGCTTTTGCATTGCAAACGTACTTGACTCTAAAAGGGAAAGTCCCAACTTTCAGGGCACTCTGTATATACCACGAAAGGATACTGCATGTAATATCTTTGCAATCTGCAGGTTGGTTTCATTGACATCGTACGGTTGAACTGGTTTGGAACACAGTTGCAGAATGTAACAAGGAAACATCAGATTAGCCTAGTTGCGATTTTCTGCTACATGTCGGTATCGCCCGGTGTTGACGGCTGTAGTTTGTTTTTCAGCGCATTTTTAAATTGTTTCACATTATTTAGTTAAAGTGGAGGTATAATAGGGGACAACACTATTAGAACATATCGGACAGCACGCATTTTCGAAAATTTGACTGTAAGATCTAATACCTAATGAAGCTTTTAACAATCTCATTTATTATGGAATCCGCTAATTGAGCGTAAAAGAATCGTTCGAATGTCGAATATCTTTTATGATTGCCCTGATCTATACACTTGCATAAATATTTTTCACAATCATATAACGTTGACAATAAGTGAAAAATATATTTCGTAGGCAGCAAATATATAATAGTCATTCCCACTATGAGTAAATAAAAGCAAATTCGAACAAAACATGAATTATGTATTTATGTGACAACATCGCATATAAATCTCACCAAACTACATCAACCGACGGCAATGTGCCATTCTGTTGATTTGACCAGTTTGTCTCTGCCTAGTATTATTGGCCTTCTCTGCCTTCTCTTGGTATAACTACCCATTGGTTGGTTTCAAAGCAGCAAATGACGTTTTGTTTTCTTTTAGACCATCTGTCTTGACTTAAAAAATGCTTCTTGATTCGATATCTACTATCAAGAGTTCATCTGACAAGCGACAGATGTGATTACAAAAATGTATTTCTGTTATAGGTTCCTATCGCACAATCAACTAGAGAAACTTAAAAACGGCACCTTCCTAAATCTTGGATACCTGGAGTCGCTGTAAGTGCACATTTTCCAGTATGTAGTTTCGATTAATACTTCAAATAAAAATAAATAAGTTATCTCATACACATGACCGATTTCACCATATTGCATAGCTATTCTTAATAAAATGGTGGATGCGCAGTAAAGTCGTAGTTTTGTAAAAAATGGTGAAAGCGGAGTTCATTTATACGTGTGCAAAATATGGTGAATGCGGCACTCATAAGTGGTTCATTAATTTTTGTTTAATTATCACACAGTACTTTTCAAAGGGAACGTGTCACAGGTCACGTCAGCGTAAATTTCAAGATGGCGGCTGGGAACTATTTAAAAATATTTTTTTAAATGGAATTGGAGTCGCGTGCTACCTCGTTTTCAAGTTTCCTATGAGTACTTTATAATCCTTGGACATAAAATAACTATTTTTCAAAATGGGAAAGTGCCAGGCCGTAAAAATTGAGCATTTCAACCGTTCATCAAAAAGTTCTAGTAAAATCCATATAAATCTCCTTTCCTTAATAGGATCTGTCAGAGTTTTTATTAATCGAATATCCCATACTTTATTGCACCTTCAGATAGACCCTTCCAGAAGAAGTATATTTGTTGTTAAGTCCGCCAACTTGAAATATACTGGTTTTATGGAATTTTCATTTAGTCTGTAGGCGTTCAACTTTCTGCTGCCTAACTTGACCCGTTCAGAAAACAGATAGAGGAGTTACCTTCCTGAAAAGCAGTATATACTCGAAATAAGACAGCACAAAGTGCCACCTATCACCAGAATGACAACTGCGAAAGTAAAAACAGCAAGCTGACTGTTGGAACTGTATCCCAGTTCCCATTTTCAGCCGGATCACCATGTGGCCGTTAGATGCCTCCGATTCTGGTCCTATAGTAGGAGGGGTTTACTTGCCATTGTGGCCACTAGATGTAGTGACCCGGCTGACAATGCGAACTGAGATACAGAACCAACAGTCAGCTTGCTATTTTTACTTCCACAGAGGTCGATTCTGGTAATAGATGGCACTTTTGTGCTATCGTATCTCCATAAACCTCATATTCTAAATAGAGTTGAGTTGGTCAGCTTTCGTTCGTTGTCCACCGAGACCAAGCCTTGGCCATGCTGAGGAGTTGCCAAATAGCACGAAACAGGTGTCCATGGCTGGCCGTCTGTAGTCGGATGAACGAAAGCTGTATTATCAGCAGTGTATACTGTTGTCTGAACTTGCGTCTACCAGATATTTTATAATATCTAATTATTTTGGTTAATACTTAATTAGTGCATAAATACCAGATATTGTAGTACTAGAGAAGGCTTACACACTAATGGGCTATTTGTGCACCAAACTTATATGTACATACAAGCGTTCACCTGTTTTGTGTTCTGTAAACTTTTCAGCATGGTGAAAAGAAAATGCCTAATAGTAGTATACACTTTTTTAGCACCTTGAACAAGAACTACATAAAGTATATTGAGTTGGCAGTATTTCAGGATGTTCCCGTATTACAATCATTGTAAGTGGTTGCGAAGCAATATAAAATGCACATCTTTATATCGAGTTTTTTTTTGCAGGAATCTGGAAGACAACAGCTTTCGACATCTGAACACTAAAGTTCTCGAACCACTAGGAAACTTGAAAACAATGTAAGTCTGCTTTTCCACAACCTATAGATTTTATGCGTAGGTTGCTCTTTACTGCACAAGTGGGAACTGCTCATAAAAATATAAAGTAGCTAAGTATACGTTTATGGTTTTTTGATACCAGCTTACTGATGTGAACATTTATTTCAATATCCATTCGAAGGTGACCTTTACGATGGTTAGAGAGTAGACGTATGCAAAATGTAGCCTACGTGGATATAGAGAACGTAATACAATATTTTTTTGAAACGTGTAGTCACGTTAGTTGATTTGGAGTCTGCTACATGTCAGTGTAAAACAGGATCTCAATGGAATGAAGGAAATTAAAAATATTTTTACATATGGAACCAACGAATCTGAATAGGCTAGAAGCGAAGCATGTGTGCTTGACAGCGTCTGACGCCAAAATTGCGGTTTTGGGTACATTTGACCACCAATGCCTACCAAAATGACAAAGCAATACTTGGGCGTACATTCTCTTATTTGCAGAGCAGGAAATAATATCTGTTGTGCGTTACGATCTCAATTGTTCGGTTATTGTTAATCAACAGGGATGAACTAAGGGAAAGCAATTGAGGTACACATTTATTAACGGTATATACCATAAACAATGCTGGCCTAATTCGTGATTTTGGAAGATGAACAACACGAAAAGCTGACTTCATCAAATAGAAGCAACGGCGAAACAGCTGATATTTGAAATAGTGTGGCTCCTTGCTTGAGCTCGGTTTCTCTAAGTAGCGGTAGATGTTGTATGTGATCTGGGCAGATTATTGAGGAAGTGAGTTAAATAACCTAATATTGATAGATTTAGTGGACGGTAATCACGAAAAATTTTGAAAATGAGAGATTATGTTTTTTGGATGTTATACGACACATGTACACCGCGAAAAATCTCGTCACTCATTTCCGTCGGTCTGACTGTGTCAAACTTTTGTTTTTGACGATTTAGGTCATTTATGAACAAAATTTAGAGGTAATAAAACTTGGTTTTGAGGGAGACGGGGAGGGTTTATCACAATATTTTGATGTCAGTGCATTTATACTTATTTGGTAATTCTACACACCTATTAGACATATTTCACACATCATAGATGTCTCCGTAGATTACCCTTAAAACTTAGAGAAATATTCTCAGCGGACGCATCGCGTACATACCGGCCGCGACGGATACTTACAGCTGTGCACCGCGGGCGTTGGTGAGTGTTCTGTTGTTCTGGAATGGTACTACACGTATTTCTGCCGCGCAACAACATAGTATTTTCTATGCTCTGACCACACTGAATCGCCTGACAGGGGTGAGGCGACGTTTTCAGATGCACTACCGGTAGAGCAGGGAATGAACATCTATGGACTTGTATGACTGACTGATTTCTCAGAGAGTCTAGTTTGTGTATAATCCTTTATGTATTGATAAGGGCGTTACGTGAGAAGTGGATAGTCTACTGGACGCCACTGTTTTTTGGGGGTTGACGTTCCTTAACAGAGTTTCGTAGCGCTCAAATGAGAAAACGTCAATATAGACAACTTTTAGATTCAAATGAAAGTAAATAAATTTATAATTTGGGTTTCTCCATTTCACGGTCCACTAAAAGTTTGCTTTGTTTTGTTCAATGTTTTGTCAGCGAACAGTAAATCAGGATTGAGCACGCAATTTTTGGTACAGTAAACGTACTTTAAATGCGACCAGGGGCGCATAACACATAAGCTGCAATTTTTACAAGTCTACCAGTTATTTGCCTTATGTAGTCTTTTTGATTTCAGTAACATAACAGAGTTGAAAGTTATCAGTAGTTATCCTAGATATGAAAATGGCATCATTTAAATTCGCAGTACATTTCCTATCATGTCACAAATTTTTTAGTTTGATTTCATTCAAAAATGGCACAATTTATCGATATTCAATAAGAGTACGTTTTTTTATGTAGAAAACCCTGGATTTTCAAATTATAAAATTGAATTTCAAAAATAGAGTCACACAAAAATTTTGGGGCTAAACTAACCTAAGTCCGTCCCCGTTACATACGCTTCCAAACAAAACTGTCTAAAATTGTTAATATTTTTAAATCCAGCATAAAAAAACTAGGCTAGAATACCAAATTTTATGACTTTATCTCAACACGTTTCGGAAATATTAAGGAAAAACCATATTCAGGGGAGCCCCTTTAAAAGACCGTAGCGGCCCTAGGGGACGTTTGTCGACCTATGTTTATATAAACTTTTCCTCCTATTTTAAGCTCTAGAAACCGCTGGTAAAATATTGCACACTTTTTTCGGGGCACCCTGTATAACAAAAAATGGATGAATCGCTAAGATCTAAAAATTTGTTCCGTATCCTACCGAAGGTACCAGCACAGCCGACGTCAACTACGAGCCGTGATGAAAGAAAGGCAACACCGCGCTCGGACGGCATGGTAGTGCTACCTGTGAACGTCGGCCGCCAGCGGCTGTGTGCTCCGTTTCCATGTAACGTTCAAGAACTAAATTTAATTTTGGAAAAGTGGACAGTTCGATTCGATACAAATCATCTGAATATGAAACAGCTCTAAAAAATTTAAAAATACGAAATAATCGTGATATATATGAGTCGCTAATTAAAAGTATTTAGTTTACGTTTTTTGGTGTCAGCACACTGTGTTCCAACAGGCCCAGCTTGGAAATGTGGAGTTACCTGTTTGTTTTTAATACATTTACTTTCAGTTTTACTGTTATTTTTCAATTTTACATAATCATTCAAAATTATGTTTGAAAAAAATAGACAAAAGCTTAGATAAAATATCTGCATAATTGCGGCCACAGATGCAAGTTAAAGAAAATTCACTGTATATAAAGTCAGACTGAATGCTGAGCAAGGTTAACTGACACAAAATAAATTTTTGATTATTGCCTTTCAAGAAGAAAATTTCCAATCTATCTACATTAATAATAGATTCAAAAATGGCATACATATGGTAGAATATGATTGGTACATAACTGGTTGGAATTGACAGTCCTCCTCTTTGCAAATGATCAAAATTTGTTGTTAATGAACCTTTATCTTTAACTATTAGCGATTTGCATATCTCGCAGTTTAGGTTTTTAGAGATAGCGTGTGAAGCATATCCAGATATATAAGTCTTAGTACTATCCTCTATGTCACAATTAGCTAAGTAATTTGCCTCGAATACTTTATTGAATATATCCAAAACTTCAGGATTTTGTTTGGTATCCAAGAAATCAAAATTTTCTTGAGTTTCTAAGCAGTTTTGGAACCTTGTTTTAATTTCTGCTAAAGAAAATGACGATTTCTTTTCATTGAAAATATGCTTCAGCAGTATTTTCTTTTCAGCATTTAAAATTTCATCATATGACACATTGTAGTTGCAGCCACATAAAAGTCTATAATTGCCAAATCGTTTTTCTAAATTATTAGTGGTGAATTTTCCAGGCAATACATACTCAATGTCAAATTGATTAAATGAATATTCAATTATATTAAGTAGAGTCAGCGTGCTTTGATATAGAGCTGTATACGTTTCTGGTGTCAGGTGTCCATTATTATTCTCTAGATTATGCCATTTTTCTAAACATATCAGGAATTTTTTTAAAAATTGTACTCTATAATCATATTTATTGGTAATAGGCTTACAAAATTCGTTTCGCTTCAATTCTCCTTTTATTACACTTGTATTACTGACAATATCCCACCAATTCCTGATTATTTCCAAAAAGTGTGCAGCATCATTAAATTTTAATTCTTTCATAGCAGCTATTGTTGAGTGATGGAATAAATTATCTACAAAATTTACATTTTGCCTTTCAAATGAATTTGGATGCAATGTTTTATAATTTAATTTATATGCTTTCTTAACTACAGCTTCTTTTTCCAATTGATATACAGCACGAATGTTTTCAAATTTAGCATACTGAATAATATCATTATTGTCAAAATTAGGATATACAGGGTGGGGCATAACTGTCTCCCTATTTTCAAAGCTTAATAAAACAAATGTTATTTGGAATACTATGGATTTATTTTGAAATCTTAAAAGTGCAACTCAAACAGTTTTATTTTATGTGGTTTTGAAAATAATATCGGCAAGGTGCTTTCCACCATTATCACAGCATTGCCGCAAGCGCTTTCTGAAGTTTTGCATAACTCTAACTAACATTGCTTGCGGTATTCGGCCAATTTCCAGACGGATTGCCTCCTTCAGCTGTGGTAAGGTCCTTGGACGATGTTGAAAGACTTGAGCCTTAAGATAGCCCCACAGAAAGAAATCGCAAGGCGACAAATCCGGGGAGCGCGCAGGCCAAGGAATATCGCCTCTAAGGGAGATCAAGCGTCCGGGGAACAGTTCTCTCAAAATGCCTAATGATGCTCGGGATGTGTGGGCTGTCGCCCCATCCTGCTGAAACCAGGCATTCTGCACATTGAATTCTGCAAGAGCTGGGACAAAAAAATTCTGAATCATCGCTACGTAGCGTTCCGAGTTGACGGTGGCAGCCCGATTACCTTCTTCAAAAAACAACAAAAGTTTTGTCTAGGTTTTTTAAATTAATCCAATTATTTCTGATACTCTTGAAAATATGCACAGCATCATAAGTTAAATATATGTTCTTATCAGGATTATGTGGATTTGGAATAGAATAATTTTCTGATGAATCCTTTGCTAATTTCCTGAACATTGCTCTATTAATTCGGTGATTATCAGTAACAACACAAATAACTTCAAATCCACATTTTTGAACTAAATTTATCACATGTTCAACCAAAGGTGTCATTTCATCACCTGTTAGATTTGAAACTGGTAGTAATTTGATAATTTCTATTATGTTTCCAAATGCTGAAGATAGCATGAAGGCTAAAACAGTTTTAGCCATGTCATTTTTATTTAAAATTTGAAAAATACAGCCTGAATTTGCACGTTTTCAATAGTTGAAATCCTTAGCGTCCTGAGGCGCGAATAGCCACAGTCACACTTCTTAGTTTATTTTTAAAGCATAGAAGCACTACAACTGGA